GGGAGCAAGTTCCAAGCAAGAAACATTCAAGGAATCAAAGAATATTAGCCTGCGAGTTGCCAGAAACACCCTTTGAACCAGCATATATTTTCCAACTCCTTTTCCCATCAGACTTGGCCATGGAAAAGAGAGAAGAAAGCAATAAAAGAAATGGCTGGGAATGGAAATCTGTCACTGAGACAGCTGCGGGAAAATGGGGCCTTCAGCTCCCAAAGTTCCTAATTTTGTGCTAATAAACAGAGGAAATTTCACCAAGATAGGAAAAGCTAGGGGATGAGAAGAGAAAGGAAGGGAAAAGCTTAGCCAAAATGGGTAGAAACCATTAGGGTTTCTTGGGAAGGGATGATTTCCAGCGCCTATAAAATGAGGCCTCTTCTACCCAACAAAAACAACCCACGCCTAGAGAGCAAGCTTTCTCTCTAACTTGCAAAAACCCAGCAGTCTCGTGCACTGTTCACCATCTTCTCCATTCTTCTCTTCTAGCAAACAGAGTATCTATCAAGCTGCCAGAAGAGCATTATTCTTCATTTCTCTCTTCCTAGCCAAATCTCCTACAAAATCTCTCTTTTCTCACCTTAACACTTCCCTTTTTCCCTCTAAGAAAGCCTAAATTTCCTCTTAGTGCTAAACTCATGTTGATTTTGCTCCCATGCCACATGCCCCTCATGCCAAGCTTAAAATTTTATCTGTAAGCATGCATAAATTATCTGTAAGCTGCCATTATTTTGGTTGGTGAAGGTAACCAAAATACTTCCTAAGGCTCTACTGCTCTTTCAAGGTATTTTGGGGCTTAATTTTCGAGCTCAGGCAAAGGGGACAATTTCATCAGTCTGCCCTTTTTACAGCAGCCCAGCCCATTTGCAGCTGTTGGAGGAAAAAGTCCCCTACAATATTCAATGACAACTCTAGTGTGCCCTTGTTGAACAGCAAAGTTACATCCTTCCAAAATAGCCTGAGTGTCTCAGCTTCGATGGTAGAATCTGCAGCAACAGAGCAAGCAAGGCCAGCTGGCAAAACTCCACTAGAATCACTTAATATCACTCAAATACCTGCCTTATGGTGCTCAGGTAGAAACATCCACATTAATTTTTACGATACCATTAGCAGGAAGGGACCAAAATTGGGGAGTTTGGGCCATAAGTACTGGGGTTCTGCGACTTGTATTCTTCGAGGCTTGTGCATTAAGGTAGCTCCTATAAGCAGCATGAGATTCACAAATTACCACCATTGGTGATGACTGGTGAGATTCGATTGCCATCTTGCATCCCATTTTCCAAATGTACCAGCAAATGTAACCAATACTAGTCATGATGTTGTCCTTGTCACCAAAATTTCCATTCGAACTCGAGGAGAGAGATAAAAGCCATTGTTGGAATAATTGCTCTGATTAATACTCACCTATATTACCGTTGGACCAAGGTTCTCAACTGTACCACTATATTGGAATTGGAAGAGACTTCTTGGGACTAAATACTAAGAGAGTTTTGCATATATATATATATATGTACTACTAAACCTCTTGTAATTCTCATGATAAATAAGATCAAACAACTCTCTTTCAAGTGGACGTAGGCTATATCAAGTAGCTGAACCACTATAATTATGTGTATCTTATTCTCCTTATTTCTCTTTATCTATTTCTTTATGGTATCAGAGCAGGACTCTTGAGTATCCTGTCTCTTTGAATTCTCATGGGTGTTTTCATCTGACAAGGCTTCTGTCTTTACCATGGATGTCGATAGTAATCCTAATCTTCATCTCTGTTCAGTACTTTTAAATGGGTTTAATTATATTACTTGGTCAAGAGCTGTTATGCTGGCTCCTGGAGGAAGATCAAAGCCTGGTTTCGTCAATGGAACCATTCGAGCACCAGAGGCTAGCGATCTGTCACGCCCCGGACCCGGGGGTCGATGGAACCCGCGCCCGGTGTGTGAGAAAATGAAAATGAAAATAAAATAAATAGAAGCCAAAACAGTTTAAAATAAACTTCTCTTATAAAAATAGATCCAAAATCTTACAACTTTACAATAAATAAAGCTCTATCACTTTTATCTAATTCAGCCTCAACTGGTTTAGTCCTTTTCTTGCCCACTAATTCAACTGAAAAATTAAATAGGGTGAGGGGTGAGCAACCACAGCTCAGTAGGGACATGAAAGCTTACCACAGTAGATTGATATAACTAAATTAAGTGACATGCAATCACACAGCCAAATATCACATTATTAATAATAATGCATGAATGAATGCTCTTCATCTATTCTTATTAATTCATATAACTGGACAAGCAGACCTGCACGTCCCATACCATGCTTATACCACTTGGTCCCGAATGCCCGTTTATATGAACTAACACCCATTTCAATCATCCCATAATTCCCCTTTTGTTAGTCATCTTGTCTAACTCCCTTTCGCTAGTCCCGAATCACCTAATAAAAACCCTGTGCACTGTGGGATCCCTGAGACCTGGTACATGCTAAAAGTTAGACTCAACTACACAAAAGACTATTTCCATTACCCTCTTTTCCATTATTATTTTCTCCACCCAACATCTCCAACTAATTTCCATGACATGATATAATTATGCATTTCACATATCCATATATCTCACAACAATGTAACATTTAAAACATCACCAATGTATATATATAATTATGCCAACCAGTCAAAAACATATAAACATTTCAGGAAAAATATTCAATTGTAACAAGAATATTAATCAAATAATCATATCACGCATAATAGCCAACATTATTCAAATAGTTCACAATACGTAAATATCCTATACAAGAACATTATACAATATCACACGTAATATAGAGCCTACAAAATTTAATTAGATCAATCCCCGTAAAGGCCCCTAAGAAACCCCTACCTTGATTCCAAAGCATTGCTCCAATTTAAGAAAATACAAGCTAAGCCCTATACCTCCTCCAAGAACTATATCACAACTAACCCTCTCTCTCTCTCTCTCTCTCTCTCTCTC